TCAATAAGCGTTTTCACTGGCATCTGTGATTAAGCGCAAGCGTTTAATTCAATCGTATTGAGCCGATTGCCATTCTGTGTGACACCATTCGATACAGAATTCTCGAGGCAGGCCGCAAAAGCCTAAGCTTACTCCAATCCAGTGTTTCTCAACACAGCTGTGAAAGAATCTGTGTTCAGCGCTCTGTTCAGGTTGCAGTCACTCGCCATTACTTGTGACCTTGTCAGCCAGTGCGGCTGCATTACCCATCACACGGACCGCGCGACCACGCCGACCGATCATTTGACCTTGCAACCACCACGCTCGCCTGACCGATGTGCGCCGCTCTCAAAGCTGTAAAAGTACAGAACGCTAACCAACCCACTGGGTCAGGTAACGACACAAACTTGAATGGCAGAAAGGGCGGAAACCGAAGAGACTCCCATGGAAAGGCATTTGCGGGTTAGGAGAATGTCATCGGGTAGTAAAAATCGGTCTAGCTTGTTCGCACTGTTTGGAATGGTACCCTACGAAATGTTCAAATGTGTCCCAACAACTGTTACGGGAGCGAAATAGCTCCAAGGATGCATTTTGGTTCTGTACTGCGTGTTCCACCATCCCCCCTCGTTAAGTGCTTCCTTATCCTAGCTGAGAAATGCGACCGGTTAATCGCAGAAGCAGAGCAGAGGATAAACAATGAGATTACTTCAATGGGAGCGAGTATGGACCACAGAAGCGCAGCGGCTGCTAAGCAACGGAATGCTGAACAAATCGCTTCGCCTGCACCGCAATCAGCCATGTCTCCATCTCCGTTGTCTTCTCCTACTTTGGTAGAACGCCGGGCGAAAACAGACTGCACCTACGTGAATCAAGCAGTACTCACAGCAAAGAAAATCAGGCACCATTCAAATCGTCTGGTTAAGCATAATTCCACTAGACCTGACATCTAGTATTAACAAGGATGGAGCAGCCAAACACCAACCCTTGGTACCTGTAGCTCAAATATCTCTTGTCGAGACTAAGCCTCCCAGAACATCGGTTACATATGCAGAGATTGCTGCCAGGGTCCACCGAGAGGCCGCCGTTGCGTCCTCTTCCACTGTAAACACCGTTGAACGCAAATGGAGAGATAAACGGGCAAACAATAACTTATCAACAAGTCAAGACAAATGAGTACCATACCTTGTAGATCGATTAAAAAGGGATCCAACAACAGTGCCCGGACTGTTGTATGCTCAAATGTTCCTGAATCTACCGCCATCACATTGCAGGATAAGTTATCAGACGACCAAGACCAAGGGAACTCATTGTGTATGCAGATGAATATCAAAGCCAAGCCCGTAAACTTGTTACGAATTACTCGTCATCCGAACTCGCCACACTATGGTGAACCCAGACTTATTCGAGTAACTCTATAATCCACCGCCGACGTAGAAAATGTTTGGCTCTCCGCAAGCGCGCTAAAACGCGAATCCTGTGCGATACGTATCTATCCTGATATCCCTTGGAGCGCGCGACAATCAAAAAGAAACACCGAAGAGGGGCACAGCAAGCAAGACCGCCTAAACACAGTCTTCATACATGGAGTGCCAGAACATCCTTCTAACCATGTTCAAGAGACCGGAAAGCACGATTTAGAACAGTGGCGGTTCATACTGTGAAACACTTTCTTTGGATGATGTTGTGGCACTATCGCTCACCAGGATACCTCTCTCATCGAATTGTAGAGGATGCGGCCCTAGAATCCTAAAACTTGTGGTTCAGTCAGAGCAACAAGCAAAGGATGTTTTGGATCGATGGTGAAGAAATCGGAAACATCTTCCTTCCGAAATTCGCTTAAAGGTCGAAAACAATTCGCAAAGCTCAAGTATTAAAGCAACTAAAGCAGCAAGCTTCCTGACGAGTGTACAGAAGTGTAACATGACTGCTGCTTTAATTGACTCTGAAGTAGGTCTAAACGGAGGCTGGGGGGCACCTTGGCCGAATCAAGTTGCAAACGAAGTATCATTGACCCATCAAAAAAACGAATAACTGCCGACCTCCCATCGGTCGGCATTCTCCCACACTTGACAGCTTCACCTCTCTGCGGGCTCCTAGAGACCGAGAAACTGGCCTGCTTGTATACAAATGCTCAGGGGCTTTCTAAAAAAACAGGCTGAACTGAAAGATCGCCAAGCTTCCGGCTCGTATGATGTCATTGGTATCACCGAGACATGGTTGCACACGGGAAGGCGGACGCTGAAGTGTCGCTACCCGGCATGTCGCTGATCCGGAACGATAGGCTCACAAAAGGAGGAGGGGTAATCCTGTACTACCGAAACGACTTACAGTGCGAAGACGTGGAGGATTCAGACTCGCAGTTCCCGACTCTCATTGGTGCCGGTTGCAGTTAAAAGGCAGGGACGCTTGCCTTATTATCTTGGAGTACCGCGCCCCTAACTCAACACCCGCAACCGACTACCACCTAATGGCTGCTATAAGGTGCAGTTTACAACCAAGTACACTCACATTCTTATCATGGGTGATTTCAACGTACATTGTTTAGAATCCCCTGCCACGACCGGAGAACCATTCAAAATCGATTTACAACCTACAATACCCCACCCCCGCCCCCGCCCCCCCACCCCCCCCCCCCCCCCACCCCCCCCCAGGCCCCCCCCCCCCCCCCCCCCCCCCCCCCCCCCCCCCCCCCCCCCCCCCCCCCCCCCCCCCCCCCCCCCCCCCCCCCCCCCCCCCCCCCCCACCCCCCCCCCCCCCCCCCCCCCCCCCCCCCCCCCCCCCCCCCCCCCCCCCCCCCCCCCCCCCCCCCCCCCCCCCCCCCCCCCCCCCCCCCCCCCCCCCCCCCCCCCCCCCCCCCCCCCCCCACCCCCCCCCCCCACCCCCCCCCCCCCCCCCCCCCCCCCCCCCCCCCCCCCCCCCCCCCCCCCCACCCCCCCCCCCCACCCCCCCCCTCCCCACCCCCCCCCCCCCCCCCCCCCCCCCCCCCCCCCCCCCCCCCCCCCCCCCCCCCCCCCCCCCCCCCCCCCCCCCCCCCCCCCCCCCCCCCCCCCCACCCCCCCCCCCCCCCCCCCCCACCCCCCCCCCCCCCCCCGCCCCCCCCCCCCCCCCCCCCCCCCCCCCCCCCCCCCCCCCCCCCCCCCCCCCCCCCCCCCCCCCCCCCCTCCCCCCCCCCCACCCCCCCCCCCCCCACCCCCCCCCCCCCCACCCCCCCCCCCCCCCCCCCCCACCCCCCCCCCCCCCCCCCCCCCCCACCCCCCCCCCCCCACCCCCCCCCCCCCCCCCCCCCCCCCCCCCCCCCCCCCCCCTCCCCCCACCCCCACCCCACCCCCCCCCCCTAACTCATGCTCCTCTTTACAACCACATCACTTTGCCCACTCGGTTCAGAACTGGTAACAGGCCATCTGTGTTGGATCTTGTGCTTACCAACGAGGAGCATATGATTGATGCGTTGGTTTTAGATTGCCCGTTGGGTCGCAGTGATCACGCAGTGATCAGTTTCAAATTCATCTGCTATGCAGAATATCGGAATGATAAAGATGAGACTGTGCGAACCATCACAAGGTACGACCGGCTCTCCCAGCTAGTCAGCGCCACAACATGGTCTTTCCTCGAAGAAGAACCCCCAGAAGTCGCCTGGCTTGAGTTCGTCAACACATTCAGTCAGCTGATTGCACAGGCTTCAGAGATAAAAGCTTGCAATAAGTGCAAATCCGTTTCTTTCGTTAGGAGCAGAACCCGAAAAAGAATGACAGTACGCAACGCAGCATGGCGAGTGTACAGAGAAGCTCCAGCACCAGAAACGTGGGACAACTACCTAGCCCAACGTAACCACTGCACTCAACTGTTAAGAGAAGACAAAGCCGCCTATCAGCAGAACATCGCAAAAACCTTCAGTGCTAACCACAAACTGCTGTACAAGCACGTTAATAGCCTACGAAAGGTGAGGCAAGGATTTCCTCCACTCAAGACGGCTGATGACCCAACAAACACGTCTATGGAAGCTGCAAACGCGTTGCAGATGCAATACGCCCCCACGTTTCAAACGGTCTTGCCACAAAGCGATCTACCAAGCTTTGTCTTCTGCTCACCAGGACTAACCCACATCAATTTTACCGCAGAGGCTGTATTGCAAAAGCTGACCTTCCTACGCAAACACAGCTCGCCGGGTGTCGACGCCATTCGTCCTGAGGCATTGGGAGTAGCAGCAAACCAACTGGCAGGACATTTAGCTCAGCTTTTTCAGCACTGCTTAGACCGGAACCAAGTTCCCGCCATGTGGAAGCTTGGAATAATAAGCCCGATTCACAAAGTTGGAAGCAGATCTGATCCCTCCAACTACCGCCCAGTAACCCTTCTTCCTATACTCTCCAAGGTCATGGAATCCATAGTTGCCGATGCACTGGTGTGCTATCTGGAAAACTGCAACCTCATCACTCCTGAACAGCACGGTTTCCGTCGACAGCGGTCATGTACAACTAATTTACTAATTGCACGCAGTAGTTGGACCGAGACAGCCGACGCTGGAGAAGGTGTTGATGTGATCTACCTGGATTTTTCCAAGGCTTACGATCGTCTAGACCATCGGATACTACTATCCAAGCTACAGCATTACGGGAGCGGCGACCCACTTTTAAGCTGGATCGCCAACTTTCTATTTCAAAGGCAATTAGTGGTCAGAGTTCGGAGCTCTTTATCGGACCCCATACAAGTCGAGTGTGGTGTGCCGCAAGGCTCGGTCCTAGGTCCACGTTTGTTTCTGGTGTTTATTAATGACCTTGCACAGGGAATCGCTTCAAACTTCCTAATGTTTGCCGACGATATCAAGATCTGGCGCAGGATCCAGGCGAACGCCGAACAACATGTGCTCCAAAGTGACTTAGATACAGTGTATCAATGGTCAATCCAAAACTTATTGCATTTCAACGTCAGTAAATGCAAGGTGCTTTCCATCCGACATCAGAGCAGCTACTCATACCGACTCGGAACGGATGTACTGCAACAATCAACTCTCGAACGTGACTTGGGTGTCCTGGTTCATGATGACTTGGGTTGCTCCAGGCAATCGGAAAAGGCCTCGAAGACCGGGAATCAACACGTTGGGCTGTTGAGGCGGGCATTTGGACAAATAAACAGCTCCATATTTCGACAAATGCTCAGTGTGTATGTTCGCCCCCACGTCAAATACGCAATTCAAGCCTGGCATCCATGGCTGAAACACGACCTCAATGCACTGGAACAGCCTCAACGCCGGGCATCTAAGAACGTAACTGGAATGCGAAATCTGTCCTACCAGGAGAGGCTGCGACGACTAAGATTGTTCAGTGGAAGCTATCGCAGACTACGAGGCGACCTGATTATGACATACTTGATTCTGCGAGACCCACATCATGTGTGCCGCCATTTACTGCAACTCAGCAGCAATACGAACCTGAGGGGCCACTCATTAAAACTCGCAGAACAATACAGTCGTCTGGAGTGCCGCAGAAATTTCTTTTCCATCCGTGTCTGTCACCTGTGAAATGCTCTCCCAGAATCGGTCGTCTGTGCACCGACACTAACAATATTTAAAAGACGGTTGGACGATGCCCTCCTCCACTTACACTTTGTTGCTTAACACTATGTCTCCATCCTACACCTGGAGTTTACCCTGGAATTATTTGTTGTTAACTGTGGGTGTTGTGAATCTATGTGGATCGCAGGACTGCAGCGAAGCAAACGATAAGTCCTTACTTTCGTATTTAAAGTGTTAACTATTTTACTATCCTTTTCATCATAATTATTATGTTGATATCCCCACCAACTATCCAACGGGGCTTGTAAAGCAACGCTTCTTAACCCGTATAAATTCATTGTTCATTTTTCATTGTTTATCATAATATACCAGCAGAGCTCTATTGTTTAACTGGCTTTCCAGGACATAAAATTGTCAGCAACGTAGCAAACGTAGAAAAATGATTTTGATGTAATAATTCACTTCGTTATCCTCCAAGTTACTCACTGATTTTTTGATCAAACTTATTTTCTTTGCTTACTGCTTGCATTGTCTTACTCAGACGCCAACGTTAATGCATATTTGCAACAAAATGTTGTTATGAAAACATTATATTGCAGCAACGCAAAACCGTAAGTAATCATAATGGATTTGTAATTACTTATCGGTAATTTTTGGAGTATAATAAGGATTAGGAACAATAGATTTTGGCAACGGGGACTGCTTATATTTTTCATATACTACTCTGTTGCTATACAATTTGTGGTGTAATAAAATATGTACAAACTTTAACTCATGCACATATAAACTACGATAAATATTTTGTGCGTAATCGACATTGCCCGGCACGCATGCATGGGCATGCTGATCGTAGATCAGCAGGAAACATTTGTCACTATACGAAAAGATTACAATTTTATGAAGTCGGAAATTGCAGTTATGTGCGTGTGTGTAGATGTATATTCGTAAATGTTGTCATGTTGAACAAAATTGTAAATATGCTCTTTCATCTTTGATTCTGTTTGACTGATTTGCCGGTGCAACATACATAATAAAAACCCTTCGAATTGGATGATTGAGGTTCATGGACTACGGAGGATCATCTTAATAGGAAAGATGTTGTGACTTTATTTAGTTGCAAGTCACATCCGCTACCTCGCAGTGTTATGATAGAAATATTGGTCATCTAAGCAGTTCCTGATAGTTAAGAAAGGTAAATGGATTCAGCCCTGGACAAGAAGTCTAGAAGCTAGAAATGATTATAGATTGGGACCTAGGTAGGAGCGCCGGAAACCATGGCATGTTACTTGAGTGTCTTCAAATAACAAAGTGATAGGACAAGTTACTCGATGACGGGATGGATGTATGGATGTTAAGGACGTATAGGTAGACGAGGTGGATCTTCAGTCATCTCCTCCACAAAGGCTCTCAAGCGAGTTCGAAAAACCGACTGGGATTATGGAGAGTAGAATAGCCCGAAGAAGGTTTGTTGAAATATGTTAAAAGTATTCAAGCAATGCTCTGCCCCACGACCTTTGCTTAGTATACCATGCAACAACATTCTGTCATAGGACTGGTGCATGCTTATAAGGAGAATGCTGGATTCTTGCACTGCACTTAAGCTGAATATGTAGTCGAAGATAAAGCGTGCGTAAGTTGAGCAATAGCTCAGTTCCGTTGCGGAGGTTTAAGAAAGGGGATAGTATGCAAAGAAGTTTTGTAAGTGTAATCTATTATTGCCATCAAAGTCGAACATCACGCATGTCAATAAAAATAACACATATTAAAAATGTTAATAACGGTTTGGAATCTTTACATGTATATCGCAACAGTCAGTTGCCTGCACTTAGGAAAAGTAAGACGAACAACGAGCAACAAAGGGATTTGGGTTATTTAGTGCCCGGGAGAAAACGCAGGTGCCCTTGATTGTGTGCTAGCATCAGGATAAGTTCCAAGTGGTTTGTTAACGCACGCCACTTCAAGACGGTCGACGTACAGGAATTTCGGTGATCGTACTGGTCTTTCTTGAGGCACTTTGAGGTTGTAGCAAAAATCTGAAAATTTTAGTGCCGGGGAGCTGAACTGCAAAACGCACTAGGACAGTGAGATGCAACTTTTAAGTGCAAGCAGATCGTCCTCTTTGTATCTGTACACCTCTGCTCTGTTCATGATTCGAAGTCGAGCATAGGGAACGTATACGTTGTGCCAGGGTGCAAGGATGGTTAGTCAGAGGCCTATCCAATTATGCGGTCAATTTAGCCTTCTTCCACTGACCAGCCCTGATTGTGTGCACCGCAAGTCAGCTTCGATGAGGCTGCGCATGTTCAAGTGAGGTGGGCCAACGTATTTCATCCTATTAGGGCCAGTGGAAGCGCAGAGTTTGACTTTGAAAAGCTTTATAGGCATTCGACCGAACCTTTGACGTCTGAGTGCTAGGCTGTGGCATGAATGCGGCGACATCATAAAAAGCTGCACAACCTATCGAGTTTCCCAGGTTTGAGGGAGTTTTACTATCCGTTGTGATGGTAGTGTACCATGCGTAACGTGAATCCCAGCGATCCAATAATGCCCGGAAAACAGTATCGGCTGTACAGTTTGTTACGGGAATAGTATTTAGCCAAAAGGCGAAACAGTCGATAAATGTAGGAATATATACGAATGCGCTTGTGAGGTGAAATTAACGGACGTGGTCTGAGTTAATATGTGACATCTGAATGTCCGAAGCAATAAATAAACCAATAACACTACAAATGCGACGATGTACTTTGTTGCGCTTGCATTGAAGGTAAGCAGGTGTTCCGATACGACAATGTTTGTACATGCGTGGCTAAACAAAACCATCG